ACGGCAGCCAACACACAACAACCTCACCCTTCCTCCAAAACCTCACCCACGGGAGCCAACACACAACACAGCTCCCAAACCTCACCCATGGCAGCCAATGCACAACAAAACCCTGAGACCTCACCCATGGCAGCCAACACACAACAACACCCTGAAACCTCACCTACGGCAGCCAACACACAACAACCTCACCCATAGGAGCCAACTCACAACAAAACCCTGAGACCTCATCCATGGGAGCCAACTCACAACAACCTCACCCATGGGAGCCAACACACAACAACCCCCTGAGACCTCACCTACGGCAGCCAACGCACAACAACCTCACCCATGGGAGCCAACTCACAACACAGCTCCCAAAACCTCATCCACAGCAGCCAACACACAACAACACCCTGAAACCTCACCCTTGGGAGCCCACACATAACAAACCACCCAAACCTCACCCCCACCCCAAGGAGCCTCCTCACAGCACAGCCCAAACCTTAACTGTGCTCCAACAACCTCCATTTGTTCCAAACCTGGTGTGCCTATTCTCCCCAACACTATCAACAAATCCTTCAAAGAGAGTTTAAGTTTCATGAATAAAAATAAATAAAATACAGTCTCAAATTGAGGTAATCCCTGCCATGACTGAAACACACATCTGCATTAAACAGAAACAAAGGCAAATTTTCTAATTATTTTTTAAATGAAAATGTTTCCACAAACATATAAAGCAGAGATTTTGAAATGGGCCAGAGAAGAGGTAATTCCTCTTGGGAAAATAAAATTATTTCTGCTGGAAGAAAACCACAGTTTGTAATAAAGGTCACACAGGGCTTCTCTTCAGAGTGATTGTATAGAGAAACATTAAAAGTTACTATTTACTTGAGAAATAATTGAGATTTTGCTTCCATCAACTCAACACCATCTCCTTCTTCAGGCTGGAGTGGAAGCCCAGCAAGAAGAGAGACCACTGCTTCCATACTCGCCTGGTCCAAATCTCTGAAAAATAAAATTTAACAAATATAAGTCACTTTTACTTATAGCTCTACCTGCAGATGAAAAATAGTATTTTTAATAAAAAAAGGTATTTACTGAAGTTCTGTCCATCATGAAAATAGCTCTTATATTTTGTGCTGCAGGTTCTAAATTAGAGAAAGTATTTAAAGGAGCCAAGTCATTTAAGATGAAACATTAAATATAACTCTGCTGTTGCTCACGAAAGCTTCAGTTTCAATTTTTGTCTTTTCCTTAACATTATTACTGTTATAGCAAGCCCAACATGCCAGCTCATCCATGGATATCAAATGCTGCTACAGTGAAGAGTGCCCCTTACCTTGTCAAGCATTTCACATCCTCATCTGTTGCTTGATTAGATGTTCCCATTACCCAGTCTGTCAAGTATTCCACCATTTTGTTCCTGTTACACATAAATAGATGGGTTTAGCTGTGTCGGGGTTTTTCCACCAGTTCTATCACATGTTAAATTGTTACAAGTGTTCAGTATCACCACAATGCAGCACCAGGCTCATAATCACTCTGAAGACACAGACAAGGGAACTATCCCTGTACCAGGAACTCTGGTGTAACAGGGCTTTGGTTTCTTTTTTAACCACCTAACCAAAGAAAACCACACTTGCCCACAGTACTCTACCCTGTAAGTTAGGTAATGCCACCCTTACCTAAATTTCATTTCTTGACAAAATGAAAGGTCATCTCTCCTTTCCATCATTACTTCTACCAACTGACAGAGCTTTGTTTTTATTTGAATGGCATGTACCAGATTTCCAAGCACACGCACATACCTGAAGAAAAAAGCAAAAAAGATTAATTAAATACTTCATGCTACTCACTTCCTCTGTCCCAAGAAATCCCCTGCATCAGTAGCAAATTTCTTCTGGCCAAAATTTTCTCTCAGTGTAATAGTGAACCAAAATCTACCCTTCAGCTGGTTTTTAACCACTAACATCAGTGTACAGAAAAGTAACCAGGAATGCCTATGGCATGGTCAGCTCTTTAAAACAAAACAGTCACTCTACAGCAGTGCAC